AGCGTATCATGACCATGAGCATAAATAATAACCATAACACTAAGCACTTCTCTAATGATAATACTATTACTGTCTGCTGGCCTGCAGAACCTGGTGGAAGTATTCAGAGAGCTGGGATATGATCCTGAGGACCATGTCCCTTTTTCCATTCTCTCTCAGCATCCTTCTGTTCTGTCGCTGATGGAGAGTTGTACACACCACCAGCTTGTGGTAAGTTTCTACTTACTGACTCACCAGTATTGATCATAGTTTGTTTTTTACTCTGACCCATGGCTTCAGTGAGAGTCCAACATTGCATAATCTTTGTCCTCTCCTACACTGATCAGTCATGCCTACTTATCTACAGTTGTGGTTTACGTGCACTCATCATGAGTTATTTGGAGCTCTTGATGATTTCTTTGAATTGTTCTTTTGCACAGTATACATCTTTAATTACTTTTAAAAAATGCGGTGCAAATATTTGGATTTTTAAAAAAATATTATTTTCTCTAATCACACAATTTCAAAAGTATGCAAACGGGCATACTCATATACGATATTTGCCTATTTTTTGCTTAGCAAGTTGCACCTTGACCAAAGGACCAAATGCTTTTGATTACCATCAACAAGCTTCTGACATAATTCTGGCTGGATATTTGACAACTCTTCTTGGCAGAAACTTCATCCACCCTGGAAAAAGAACACTTTAAAGAAATCATTAAATGCCCAAAACAATGATGGCTGTAAACTCAACTGCATATTTAACACAATGTGCAAATGTATTCTCACTGAGTATTCTCTCACTGTCCTTCAGAACATTCATGGAGTGTTACTGGACAGTCAGCATGGAGGAGAGACTAACAGCTCAACACTTTCATAAAGGATAAGATAAAGACATAATTCTGGCCGCACTGTGAAGAACTCTAACTTGGGAAATGCACAATTTTGAAGTGTTCTAATTATTTTAATGTTTAAAATGCTATGTTAATAGGTGTGCATCCATACACTGGTGTTGTACTACATATTTGAGATAGGAACAATAACATATGGTGGTGGATTGACCTTGCTAAATTTTTTGTCCTGTGATACACTCCAGAAGTTTTCATGACTGAGGTGCTTCTTTTTTAATGAACTCTGTGCACTGTCCAGGATAATTCAGATGTCAAGCCTGACTTGTCCGTCACTTCCTACTGTGGCACCAACAACCCTATCATAGTTCATTCAGGATGTATGTGTTATGGTAGCAGCTTTCCACTTTTTTCATAAACGGAGAAGTATGAATAAATGATATTTCAACAAATAATGTAGATTGTTAGACAATTTGTTTTACTAAAGGCAAAAAAACATGTTATTATACCAATACTATGTTCTGTTCTAATAGGACCTCTCTTTGTAAAAGGATGATTTTGCCAAGCATGAGGCATTTCTTGGTTTTATGGTGATAATCCATTTTGTTCTGCTGATATCTTCTGGAAATTTGTCCATTTGTCTTGATCATTACTCAGTTTAATAAGCTGCCTGGCTCATTAAATTGAACTTTTCCATAAGGAATTGTTTTAGCAGGAAGGTTTTTATTATCTGTTTCTAATGAAGGAGAATAATTTTGTTACCACATAATACAAACAGCACGGGTAATGTATTTTGGACTTTTTTGCTTCTGGCTATCTCAGTCCTTTAGTCTGCCAAGATCCTGTTTGTCTGATTGGTGAGTAATGGAGTGTCCACCCATCCCTTTTCTTCCACAAATCCAATTCGGGCTGAAGCTTTTCCCAGCTGCCACAGAGCAAGACTTTTGGTACACCCTGTACAGGTCATCAGTCTATCGCAGGGCTAACACATAGAGACATATTCACACCTACAGGCAATTTAAAATTACCAATTAACCTGACTCCATGCATGTCTTTGGACTGTGAGAGGAAGACAGAGTGCTTACACAGAGACAGGGAGAACATACACACTCCATACAGAAAGGCTTCAGGCTGGATTTAAAACCAGGACCTTCTTGCTGTAAGGGTAACTACCGTGCCACCAGAGTACACACACCAATATTTTGTTAAAAAATTACATTAGAGTATATTATATATAAGTTCATTCACTATTAGGTAAACCTTACATTGATATAAAAACAGTGAAAGCACTGTTTTTTCCAAACAACAAACAAGATTTTTACTGAGCAGGTATTACACAAATTTTAGACGACTTGTTTACATATACAAAAATGACAGGAGACACAGCTGATAAAGTCTCAGGGATCTTAAAAAAACAAAAAACAAAAATGTATGCCCATTTAGTCTCTATTAGACTTTCTTTGAGCATTCTTGAGTTAATAGTACTGTAAAATAGAAAGTCGTTATAGCTTCCTCTCTCTTTGTCTCAGGGACAACTTTAATGACCTCTCAAACTTCAGGAGGTTCCTGTCCATCCAGTATGAAAGGCTGCTGGAGAGAGCAGGAGATAATAACTTTCCTTCAAGAGGAACACTGTGATATTACTGACCTTGATGCTTGTAACCCCTGTTCCTTCATCCTGGAACACAAACCCAGTACGTCAGGGTTATCGTCATCCATTCAACCTTTACATTACCTCAGTAATATATCATAACAGTATATAGGTACTCTCCCAATAGCTCAATATAAATAAATCAGAGGCTCAAAAGCGTTATGTGACTTTTTATATGGTTTCTTGATTCTCTCCAGGTGTCCATTATATAACTTTCTATCCTGGCACTCTGAAGGGTCAGGATCCATCCAGTATCCTACATTCCAGTGTTCAGTTCCCAACTTTCTGACCACTCAAACATCTGGGCTCAGGCAATGAACCTTTTTTTATTCTTTACTGACTTCTACAATAAAGGTAATATCTGCACATCATCCCTGAACACTTAGTTGTCAGTAGCACTTTAGAAATACTAATATTATAATATCTAAGCATCTGAATTCAATTATACTTACTCTGTAGTAGTACTTTTAACTTACCTCAATTATCTCTTGATTTACTGAGATTTCTTTGTTATCTAAGATCAAAAACTGTTTCCATTAGCAGACAGTCTAAATACTGTGCTGGTGGGAGGTCTTTTTTTGTCCTTTCACTAATAACCAATTAGGACAGCTTTTAGTGTCCATTCGGTGCTTTGTTGCCTTTTCTCTTTGTTGTCTAGCAGTTAAATTGTATTCATTTAAATTTGAATTTATTTATATGGGACCAAATCACTACAACAGTTGCCTCAAGGCCAATCAGTGGCACCCGTGCTAGTTACAAGTGCCCCTGGGTCCTCTCTCTGCCTTGTGTCCAAACTGAAACAGAGGGCAGAAAAAACACTAAAATCATGACAGGAGGGAGGAAACAAGGAATATATAAGAAAATTAGAAAGCTGCTTAAGATTGTAGATGAACAAAGCAGAATCTTGGAATTTCACAGTGCAGAGAAGAAAAACAAAACATAATAGTGATCAGAGTACATGGAACAAACATTAGTAATATATGTCCAAAATAATGTAATAAAAAAAAACCCATTTTACTTTATCTTAAATTTTATGTTTTTCATTGCTGATTTAAGATGGAATTTCTGTATTTTGTACATTTTTACAGCAATTATTATGAAACCAAGCCAAATTTACTACAGGTCACCTGCAGCGAAAAAGAAACCAGCAAACATATAATGATTTTTAAACACTAAAATTGTACAACAGAGGGAGTGGAAGTTAAATAATGATTAAAACATTGGAGAAGTTTAATCTCTGAAATCTAAATGTATGTATTTATTTTTCTTTAACTTAGAGGTCAAAAGATTAAGCTAGTTTGGACCTTTCTGCCGGCTCATGGTCTGTGAGAGAAAGGATGGACAGCGAGGCAGAAAACAGCAGTCTCTGTGCATGAATCTCTTGTTGACTTTTAAGCAATTGTGAAGTTTAAATCTGTGATGTTTTTGTGTTAGAGCCCCACCTAGTGACGTGAGGTGAAGACTGCACTGAGAGTGAGCCACCTCTAGCAACTCATTAACAGAAATTTTATAACCACGTGTTGTTAAAATTATGTCTTTTAGGGGGTTTCTGCCATCTCATTATTAACGTTATCGCTGTGAGGAATACCTGTAACATTTTTCGTTCTCTGTTAATAATCATGAAGTTTCTTTTATGTCATAAGGATTATTTTGTTACTTTGTTTTTACTCTGGTATATTTCAGAGAGATATTATTATTGGCGTTATGAACAATTGGCCATGGCTTGGATACTTACTTACATACTACGTAAAGAATAGAAGTTTCGTCCTCCTGGGTAAAGGCATCCAAAGTGTAGAACAGCACAAAAATATAAAGAGCTTTATTAAATTTGCAGCATTTGATTTGGTGTTGATTAGTTATTTATTTATTAAGCTGCATTACACATTGTTTTTTTCTGTGTTTGTTGAAAAAAAAAATGGTAAAAATAAAGGTAAAAATGAAGCAACACCCACTGGACACTTCATTAATTACACTTTGCTAGTACTGGATTGGACCCCCTTTTGAGACGACTTTAGCTTTGTGGCATGGTGCATTAACCTGCTGGAAGAAGTCATTATAAGGTGGGTGCACTTTAGGCATAAAGGGATAGACGTGGTAAGCAACAATACTCAGATAGGCTGTCGTGCTTGGATGATGCTTAATTTGTTTTAAGGGGCCCAAAATGTACCAAGAAAATATCCCCCACACTGTGACACAACCAGTACCAGTCTGAACTGATGATACAAGGCAGACTGGAACCATGCTTTCATGCTGTTTATACCAAATTCTGACACTACCATCTGAATGCCATTAAGAAATAAAGGTTCATCAGACCAGGCAACTTATTTTAAACCACTTTTCATCCAATTTTGGAGGGCCTGGGTGAATTTCAGCCTCAGTTTCCTGCTGTTACCTGAGAGCAGTGGCAGCTGCTGTGGTCCTCTGATGCTGTGGCCCATTTGCTTCAAGGTTCAGTAGTTAAAACCAAGGTAACTTGGTTTTAAAGCTTGGCTTGGCTTTAAAGGTTACTCCTTTAAAGTCTTTTAATTGTGGTGCTCTATTTTCTCCCATAGTGATCTTTTGGGTTGGACTAATTTAATGCCATGTTTTGTCCATCAGCCGCCACGGGGGCGCAATTAAATTTTTAGAAGGCACCATTCTTATAATCGACGAATCCAATTGGCTCAACTTCTACAGTTTGATTGGTCAGTCTTGACAGCGTGGGCGTGGTTAGGTGTCAATGTTTTTGTGGCTCGCTCCGTGTATGTAACCGCACCAAGGACTCTGCAATGTGATTTCCTGACATTGATTTGTTTTCGTATCATTTAACACGCCGTCTTCACCGCATGATGTACCAGCTTTCGACGTGGGGAATCACTAGAAGGTGAAAGACGGAAGTAACCGAGGAAAAAGCCGGAATGGCAGGCGCCTTTGGCTTTAAAGGCTGCCAGAAAATCCGAGGACCTCAGATTAGAAATCTGCTTGAGGCGAAGGACTTCTTTCTCTTCGACTGCGACGGGGTCATATGGCACGGAGAGAACGCGATAACGGGCGCCGCGAAGGTGGTGAGCTCGCTGATCCGGCGCGGCAAAAACGTGGTGTTCGTCACCAACAATTGCACCAGGCCGCGGGAGAATTATGTGCACAAGTTCTACCGGCTGGGCTTTACCGACGTGATGCTGGAGCAGATCTTTAGCTCGTCGTACTGCTCGGCTCTCTACCTGAGAGACGTCGTCAAGGTCCCCGGCCAGGTGTTTGTCATCGGCTGCGACGGACTGCGCAGAGAGCTGCAAGAGGCAGGCATCCCCTGCGTGGAGGAGGCGGATGATCCGGACGCCACCATCTACGACTGCGCCCTGGCTCCGGACGTCAAGGCAGTGCTGGTTGGACATGATGACAAACTGACTTTTCTGAAACTGGCCAAAGCCTCCTGCTACCTGAAGGACCCGGAGTGTCTGTTCCTGGCCACGGACAACGACCCCTGGCACCCTCTGTCAGGTGGAAGGATACTACCAGGTATAATGGGGATGAGGTTTAATTAACACATAGTGTTGCTCATTCACGTCACAGTAAGATATTCGTTTTTCTGCCAGACATGGATAGATTGCTAAAATGGCTTAGCGGTCAAGGGACCAGGATGTCAAGAGGTCAGAGGGCCCTAAAACTTACTTATTCTGCAAAAATAGCTGGGCTTGTGCAACCTGCATCACAGGTTTCTTTTCACATGTTCATCAGCATGAATCTGCAGTGTCAGGACAGGTCTGCAGAGAACAAATGGCTAAAACAACAAGAGCTCTGGCTTGTTGCGTTATTGAAACTTTTTTTTTTGTTCACTGCACCACTCTTCAGGGGCCCACCACTGCACAGATACACACAGAATGCACCTGGAAGCTTCACTGCAGTATATTTAACCCACAACCCGAGGCACAGCTACCTCCTGGCCTCAGGCTTGTATCAGTTCATCATAACTAGTTTGCAGAGCTTTAAGATAAGGTAGTAATTGGGTTACCCAGAGACCATAGGGTAAAAGATGCTGGTTCAACTCAAGCTCAGGGCTCTGGTGCATGTCATCAGTCCTCTCTGCCCTCATTTCCTCCTGATATGTTTAAGAAGCCCAAAAAACATGTGAGAGCAGTTGTCAGTTTAGCTCACTCAGTAATCCATTTTAGATTCCACAAATCTGAAGGGTGATTTTTTTTTTTTTTTCCCCCCCAAAACAAGTGGCCCTCTGGAAAATATTTATAGCTTGTACCTACTGACTGAGCAGCTTATATGAGATACACAGAACTATTAATAGCATGCAGCTGGAAATGAAAGTGGTTGGTGGTGATTCAGTCGTCTTTACTCCGCCTCTCCCCCTGCAGGTTCTGGCTCCCTCACAGCAGCCTTGGAGGTGGCCTCTGGACGTAAGGCCACTGTGATCGGAAAGCCCAGCCGCTTCATGTTCGAATGCATCTCCAGCCAGTTCAGAGGGGTGGATCCCGCCCAGTGCCTGATGGTCGGGGACCGCCTCGAGACGGACATGCTGTTCGGGTCCAACTGCGGCCTCGACACCATGCTCACTCTCACTGGTGTGTCTCAGATCGAGGAGGCCCAGGAGTACAGGGATAGTGACCAAACCACCAACCACAGCTTGGTGCCCGACTACGTGGTGGACACCATTGCTGATTTCTTACCGGCTTTTGAGGAACTGGACGAACAGAGCAACTGAAGAGTCTGTGATCTCCTGTACAGAGCACAGATTGCTTCAAGTGCAATGTTGAGTCTTTAGTTTCTTAATAAATAACAAGGCGCTGTTTATGTTGTGACCAAGACTGATTTAGGGCAAATAATTTCCATAATCACAGTAATCCAGTGCATACCTCAGTGTTTCTTCAAGTGTTGTGCTCATTTTGTGACTTGACAGTTTCTGTAGCTTTACGTGTTTATAATAATCTATGAATATACTGCAGTTTTGTGTTCACACAGATCATACCGTGTTTGATATTGAGTTTTAAACATCCAGAGGTATTTTTGTAAAGCCATGAATTGTTCTGAATTCATGTGTTTAGAAGCTGGCTGTTTAAAGTTTGTTGCCAAACAGGAGACATGTACTTACTAATGCTGAATTATCTTCAAGTGTGCTTGCCTAGGTGTCACTTCTAATTATAATCACGAGAAGATAAAAAAACTAACAGTGTGAGCTTTTCTCAGCTCTGGTAGAGACTAAGCTGACAATCTGCCAGGCAGACAGGTAAAGTGTTCATTCACTTCCGGCCTTTCTGTCATGTCTGTGCTACTTGTGCCAATATTCATCGGAGTAAACGGCTTACTGAAACTCATAGCTAGAAAGCCAATAATGGTTGCCTATCATACTGCACTGTTGTGAACTTTCAGTGTTATTAATG